CTAAGTGCTGTTGCCTGCTTTCTAACATTAATGGCTAAAGAAAGCCTCGTGTCCGGTGATCCGAGGGAAATAAAGAATTGTTTGAAAATGCATTGAAAATGAAGATAGAAAGGACACGGAACTTGAATTAAAACAGCAATTAGAATCTAGCTGCCAGAAGACCCTAACGGTCTTCTGGGTCTATTCTAAACAAAGGGCCGAATGAAATACCGACACGACATTCCAAGGCTTAACAATTTCTATGTGAATAAAAATCAGAGTTATTTTTGCAAAAAGTAGCTGCATATTTTTAACTACTCCAAAAGTAAATACAAATAATTATTTTCACTACTTGATAATTTCGGTGTTATATTGATATTGTAATGAAGTACCGTTTATGAATTATTGATTACAGAGAATTATTTTGTAAGTCAAGAATTAACAATAAGTCAAGTTAGTGAAGCAAATTAAGAAAATTAGTTTACATTGCATGAACTTTCCAGAATTAGAACTATTAATGGCGATTCACTTTGGAATACTTTGAGATACTAGTGATTCAGAAGATTGGTATAGTCCAGAAAATTCAAAAATCGTTCCACCATTGTTTTAATGTATAATAATATTTTCATTCAATCCATATTACACATGTTTTAGGATTTAGTAACATATTCTCCTTATATTAATCTAAACTTGTATAAATATATAGCACATAAATGTACGACACGATATATATGTTATTTCACTTGGTAGTATTTCTCTATTTCCCTCGTTATTATCTGTCAATTATTGATTAAGTATGTCTTGTACAAAAGATAACCATAAATTAGCCAATATCTCTGAATATTAATGGTATATACGTATTTTAGAAAATAAAGACCATGCATCAGAGAACGGACATATCCATGAAAAATTCTTTAATAATATTTTTTCATATACATGTGTAACATCGGTTAAATACACATGAAACTTCTCTTACAGAATGAAAGCATATCACATGAAAGAATATTTAATGAAAAGAAAGTTACTCAGATATAGATTGGTAACAAAGTATAAACCTTATTTTAAAAAATACAAATTATACGAAAAATAATTAAAAATATGGAAATCTATTTATTAAAGTATATTACTACATTTCATTTATTTCGTTTCATTTAATAAACAGTACATATGTATTTGTGTGAATCTATACATCATTGTATATATAAACATAATATATATAATAAATATAACGAAATGAATGAAAAAAGTGTAAGAACTAAAGTGATATATAAGAAATTAATAAAGTAAAGTAAAATGAAAAAATGATAAAATAATATTTTAATAATTGTCACTTTTATCGACATTACTTATCTTCTCCAATTCGTTTCCTCACTTACTTACTTTTGCTTATTTATTAAAAAAATGTACTAAAATGTGTGAAAGGAATCCCAGATGTATGTATAATGTTATAATCGTATATTCTGTATTTTACATTGTAAATTTATTCAGAATACTAAGCATACAAAAATTTATTTACTCGTCATAAATAATGTACAATTTAACAATTTATATATTTTTGTTTTACAGTGGAGAATCCGGTGCTGGTAAAACAGTTACCGCAAAATATATTATGTCATACATCTCGAAGATCAGTGGTGGCGGTGCAAAGGTGCAAAAAGTGAAAAATGTCATTTTGGAATCTAATCCTCTGTTAGAAGCTTTTGGCAATGCGAAAACCGTGCGGAACAATAACAGTAGCAGATTTGTATGTTTACTTTAAAATTATTTTATTTCGTCATTTGTGATTATTTTAACCCCTAAATGTCCGAATTTTCTTTATCAGTTTAATTAAACATCATATATATGATTTTTAACAAACCGAGCACTTGTTTAGAACACTTTAATCGTTAATTTATTGTTTCTTTATTCTCTAACCAATATTCCTTTATAAGTTTTGAAATTATCATTTAAAATAGAATTTTTATTATATTCTTAAACTTACTCTAACATCAATTCGGCTTGACACTTTTCGTTTAGGTTCAACTATTTTCTTTGGCACGAAAGGGGATAATATTTCTTTACTTTGTTAGTTTAAATGAGTGCAAAAAGAAAATACATTTTGACAAAATAAATGAGCATTGTTGGAATATATTTATTTTAGGGAAAATACGTAGAAATGCAATTTGGGGCTGGTGGTCAACCGAATGGAGGAAAAATTTCAAATTTTCTGCTAGAAAAATCGAGAGTCACTTGTCATAATTTTGGCGAAAGAAATTTTCATGTATTTTATCAACTTGCAACAGGTGCAAACCAGCAAATGAAGTGTAGGTATCAAATCATTTACTTAAAATATTTTCTTTATCGAATAAGATTTTATAAGCCTTATTTCTCTTATTATACTTTTTAATTGTTTTATATGAGGGTAATTTAAAACTCTTACTTTTGAGAGGAATAAAAAAAATTAAGAGGCATAAAACGGAACAATAGGAAATTATGTTTTGAATTAAAAAGGCTAGGAATTCTTTATTTCAATTACTTCTAACTACTTTCTTATTTTCATTACCGTAAATGGTTAAAAAAATTATGAAAACTGGTAGAATAAGTACCATGTATAATAATATTATATCTCTTTTATACGATTCTGAGAATGATAATGCTTTTAAGATATAGAAATGCAAATATGTATGCATTTATATTTTTCATGTTTAGTATATGAATATAATCTTATATTTTCTAGCTGAATATGGATTGACGAATCTTGATTATTACTATTATCTCAATCATGGCGGTGATCATAGAGTTGACGATATCAATGATGCCCAAGATTTTCAAGCAACTCTAAAAGGTAACAGTATCTTTTATAACAGATTATAAAATATATATAATATATTTTATATTTTATATTTTAATATATTATATATTTATATGTATATATGGAATTTATAGGTGTAGATTTATGTTGAAAATAACTAATACATATATGATAGAAGGTCTTATTTTTTAAATTTCTTTACAAATTATATTTATTTCAATTCTGTTGACGATGTTTAGAGATTACGTTAATTATGCTATGTCTCCTTTTCTTTTACCTTTGTGATGATCATGTATACTGAAATCAAGAATATGTGATACCTTGTTCGGGATTTTCGAGTGGAAATGATTAACACTGTTTATTACACACGAGTCTACCCATAAAAATAATCACGAACTATTTCTCGTATACGCTTATAGATGTCCACAAAAAAGTTTAAACATATTTAAAATTACAATATTTATTTCGATTATGAAAATAATTGTACACTTTTAAAACTGGTTTTAGTCCTTTACAAGAATGTTTGAGAGGAAGGAAACAATAGAGAAAGTAGTGTTGAACAGGCCATTATATTTACCTATCCTTCATTTAACAAGCGTTATCAACATCATTGGTGAAAAGTAGTAATTGTGTCTAGAAATGAATATATGACATATATCAATCATGTGACATTGGCATTTAATCATGGGTAATTAAAAAATGTACGAATCAGCAATTTAATCATCAGTGACTGGAAATGTATGAATCAGCGACTTATGCAAAGCGAAGATACTATGAAATGTACTAGTGTACTAGTAGTACTATTTACAAAAATGTTCGATTATTATGTTATATACATATGAACTTGTTACTGTGACATACTCAAAGAGTCATAACTCAGCAGATTAATCTAATTATTATAACATATAGCTCGCAAATTAGTACATTTTTTCGCTAAACTTATTTCAACTCTGTCAACTTAATTTGCGTAAAACGCTTCATACGTCATTTCCTGCAATCCCATCTACGTTCATACTCGATGACATATATGAGAAGATCATCTATTATTGGAAACGAAGGATGAGAAAATCCTAGAAACACATAATGCACTACAATAATTTAAGAAACGTATTATTTCATGCTAGTATGTGGTACATCTATAATAATGAGTAACAAACGACTTTATTATTCAAGATGTCCCACGCTTTTCTATGTCAACCTCGCCAGTGCATTCTACAGATAAAAAGAAGATTAAAATGTCGTGTAACTAAAAGTTTATAAATGTTTTCTTAATAAATTTTAACAAAAATATCAAACGCGAAGAATGTGATAACGCTATTTCTCTTAATTCAATGCAAGGCTGTGTGAGATATGTAATGTTTATGTTATCTATTGATATAACATATCTGCACTATTTTCTGTAAAGAAAGCCGCATCACGCGTGAAGAAATGAGATAAAATTGGAATGAAATAGAATCAACATGCGTCTTTCGTCTCGCTTATTTTAAGATTAAGATTACGATACCAATCGACATTTACTAAGTTTTTAATAAACTAACATTGTTTGGTTAATAACAAACTGCTTGGTACAGAGTTGTTTGTTAGAGGTTTCGTCAATTACAAAGTTTTTCCGTGTCTTTTACAAGATTTGTTACATTCTTTGGTTTCAAGATTTTTAGTATTCTCTCGTTCCAAGGATTTTAGTACTCTAATTTTAACACTAAGTTTTAGTATTCTAATTCTAAGTTTTCTTACACCGATATGTAGCCAAAACTGGGCTAGAATTTTTGTAGTCAAACAAAATATTAGGCAGTCAATGAAAAGCTTAAGGCTGTTTTGACATCATTTCCGTCTATCCCAACGTTGGTGGACTTGAGGTAGGATAAAGTATATGCACTGAAAGTTTATAACGCGACAATTATTAAGAAAACGACCAAAGGAGTTCAACACTAAACCTATTAGTACCCAAATAGTCGTTTTTAAACTTTTAATATAAAATTTCACATTTAACTTTGTCGCTTTCGTCGCTTGTCTTCACGATTTTTCTTTTAATATAGAAATAATCAATTTTTCAATATCTCCTCGTGTTCTTGTTTTTAAGGTTTTTCTTGCTTTGTTCCTTCGTCTAATGGCCATTTGACATGGTACGTTTAACGTTAGGAACAGTTGCGAATTTTTGGCACAGATAAATTTCCCTTTAATATTTCACTTTGTTTCTATCAGTAATAAGTAACCTGTGATTCTCAACTACTGTCTTACAGCCTGCTGAAACACTTTATTTAAATCTAACTGTAAAAAGCGTAGCGAAAGATATATTCCATGACAACACGAGTCGCTACCTGGACTTTTAAGATTTTAATATTGTCACACTGCAGAAAGGTTATTGGGTAGAATGTGAATGGCTCGTATCGTAAACCTAATTTTCCAACATATTGCCAAATCCTAATGGATGATGGTTCTTAATGGAACGTTCCAATAAATTTAATAGTAAATTGATATCGCATTTGTACGAATAACTGCGGGCATTAGTTCAAAATACGAATATATAGTTCTAGATTAAATAATAACACACACGAACTCTCTTTAATTTTTCGATGACAACGTCGAATTTTTGTATGTTACTTAATAAATCTCCACTGGTTTTTACACACAAAGGAGGAAACAAATTCTGAAGAGGAAATGATAATATACTTGGGTTTTTTATTGGTATTATCCAGGTTATAGCCTGTCTTATAATAAACAATAAATGTCGTGTTTTATTATTTGACACAAGTAACGATATGGGCTACTAAAGTAAATTGCTTGAAACCAAGATTGCATGGACTATTGAACTAAAAAATCAGGACCCAACAGTTTCCATAATTGCAAGAATTTGTAAAAGAAGCCTCAAAGAAATACGTAATTTATTAAAAGGTCTTGTAAATTATGGAGAGAAAAGAAATTGTAGACAAGCTCCATTATCAAAACGAAGAAAAAAGGACATTGTATCTATTACCTCAAATTCAACCGTAAATGATTATGACATGACCGAGTATTAAAAAATTAATTTTTAAGAAAATGGTGTAGTAACTCAGGTAGTATCCCTTGATTAACAGTGATAGTTTGAGATAAGAAAAAAGAAAGAAAAGAAATCAAGAAAGAAAGGAAATTCTTAGAATAAGTCTCATGAGTGTCTAACCGGTTGTCACGAGAAAAAACCGCATCTACATCTTTTTCCCACAATTTCTTCTGTTCTTCTTCCTTGACTTGTCTTGTTTTAACACTTGTTTTAAGTCGCTGTAGCCCATTTGGTAAGCTGGAAACTGAGATGGAAGGTGATCTGTTTGCATTACGTTTCGTTCCTGGAATCGGACCATAAGGATGCGTGTCACAATGAATCATCTATTGTAGCTTTGCATCATCTATGAGATATTATCTTTCTACATCTATTTGATTCCTGGATTCACAGAATATTTCATCAGAGTACCGTTATACAGTAATGATTTTTATGTTTAAGTACAGCAATGGTTAAGCATTTACTTATATCTCTATTTATGTCATTGTATGTTAAAAATTATATCGTGAGTAGTTAAACTTATGTTAGAGAATTTGACTTAAAAGTAAAGAAAGCTGTGAGATTGTTCTTTGGTAAAATTATGGAGAACCGTATAAGCTTTCTCTTATTTATTCCACAACTTCTGAGTGGAGTGAATATTTTAATAAATTAACGGTTTACATTAGTGTCCACTTTAGCATCCCAATGTATATGATGTAGACAGGTGACTTCCTCGAATTCAATTAAAGTAAGGAAAAGAAACGAATGTGAGTAGGATACCATGTATAAGATATTGATATCTCGCACGTCAAAACGTGGACTTGAATACCAAATATATTGGTTTTCACGATTCGATGATGATAGTCTTTATTTTAGTCGAAATAAGTTCTTGAATTGGTGAAGATATGATCGATAACGCGGACAAAAATTGCGAACGTTAATATAAACACTACTATATATTAACAGAAAAAGAGTATAATTCTTAATATGTCCAAAAAACTAACATAGAATTGGATTATTAATATATTTCTATCTAGCTAGCAAAAAGTCAACTATCATTAAAACTTTGATTACCTCTAGAAACTTTAATTAAACCTTACGCAATGAGAAAGCAACAATTTTCCGTAAAAAAAGAGAAACTATTCGGTTTAAAGAGAAATAACATTTTTCAAATCTATTGGATCATTTGATTTAGCTCGAGGTATTTCAATTAGCTCAAAGTTAATTAAACAAGTTCTTTGAATTAATTTTAAATAAATTAAACAAGTTATTTGAATTAATTTTGAATGAATTAAGCAAATTATTTGAATTAATTTTGAATGAATTAAGCAAATTATTTGAATTAATTTTGAATGAATTAAGCAAATTATTTGAGCAAATGGCAACTTACGTTAGATCGTACATTGCTTATCTGGTACGTAATCGCACATTGCTTATGCAACTTATCTTAACTATTTAAAAATGTTTATGTTTTCCAATCCAACAGCACGTTTTAACTGCACATCGTAGCTCTTATCATAGAGAAATAATGGTATCTGGTTTTATCTACGTATACTGTTTTATTTCATTTTTTGTACATGCTTCATGAGGACATTGACATAACAAAGAATAATACTAGAAATCTAACAAAAGATATTAGAGAATCTTGAAAAGAAAATTTCATTAACTGGTTGAAAAATTGCACTTATTTAGTATAAATTTATTTACGCTTATTTGGTATTGAGTACACTTATATTTTAATTTATCGAGAGTTATTTCTTTTGTTACAGGATTGAGTATAATGGGAATAAGTGATTTGGAAGTAAATGATATTTTCAGACTGGTTGCCGGAGTACTTCACATAGGAAATATTCAATTTGTTGAAAACGGAAATTATTCACAAATAGCCGATAAACAGTGTAAGTATTGGCTAATAGTAATATAAACTGAATAGTGAATAGTGAAATATTATAACGAAACTAACTGCATAAAACGTTTACTAATAAAAGTCAGAATTAATTATACGAAAAATGTTATATTCGTGAATTTTCAAATTTATCTACTAAGCCTGTTCAATATTATATTATAGAAAATGTGACTTAAAAACTAAATTTACCTGCTTATTTTAATTATTTTTTGTTTCACAACGGCACAAACTTAATTACTTAGTTAAACAATCGATTAGTAATATATAACGTTAATACAGAATAGTTGTCCAAAAAATGTTTCAAAGCAATATTTAGGCACGATGTATATGTACTTTCCTGTATTATATATTACTTAACATTAATGAAAATATGCGAAAAAATGTAGTTGGAGCAAAATCAAAATAACTGAGGACTTCGAAAGTAGTGAAACTGCAAGAAAATTAGCAACAATTTTTTATTCTTACTAACAAGTGTACAGACAGAAACAATACAAATGTATTGTAGATTCCTCCGACACTAGTACCAATAGAAAAAGCTTAACAAATTTAAAAAGTAAAAGTGTACTCCGATAATATTGTATTCCAAAAATTTCAATAATAAGGATAAACTAGCAATGTTTGATTAACGAAATTCTTGAATTTTGTTTAAATAAACAAAATTTATTAAAAAAACTTGTTTGTTCTACAATATTATTTAAAAATTCCGTTATGAAAACATTTTTATTCTTCTATTAATTTAAATATGGGAGAATGTATTGTATTGCTAACACTATATGTTTCAGATCTTGATTTTCCAGCCTACTTGCTTGAGATTTCGGCAGATCAATTAGCTCATAAGTTAATATCACGTGAGTTTGAATCAAAATGGGGCAGCCAGTCTGAAAGCGTTGATGTTACATTGAACGTAGAGCAAGCTCTCTACACTCGAGATGCACTGGCAAAAGATATTTATGCTAGACTCTTCGACTACTTGGTTAAAGTAAGTTTACATATCATATATTTCTACAATAACAACTAATTAGCAGTACATACTTTAGAAATGTTTTATTAAGTTGAGATTTGAATTGCATACAGTAGTTTTAGAACATAATTGTGAAATATTTTATTTTTGCAGTTTCTTTTGTCAAAATTAATTTTGATTTTTATTCTGATAAAAATACTCAAATGAGTACATATAACTACCTCTTATCATTACAATTATTACTATTTATATCTGGTACATGCAACTACACATTATAAGTTGGTATTTTTAATGTGAAATCTGTAAATTAGCAATGAATTATTTTCCTTTGAATCTATGATTCGTTATTACATTTGAGTAACGACTATGTAAGTTTCCAAGAAACAGAATATTTTTTGCCTATGTATTATTTACAATAATGTTCCATGAATTATAATAATTATTACTATTTGCGACTAAAGAAATGTAATAAATAAATATTTATATCAAAGTTTATTAAATAGAATTTATGGTTGACTCAAGACATATAAATTTATATATATTATATTATTTATCAAATTTGTCAATTTTATTAAATTTGTATTAAATATAAAATATTTATATTATTCAATTCATTTCTGGATTTGTTACTTATAGAGGTCTTTGTCGCAATTGGTTAATCTTTATAGAATTCCAGGATGCACATGCTTAAGCACACATTTCCTTCCCAAGCATTGGTTTTTGGTATAAAAAGAAACGTGTACACATAAAATGGGAACTCATTCTTTTAAAAAAGTATTATATTACATCATTCTTTATTCTATGTAGTAGTGTTACAGTATCTATTTAGTACGTGCATTATTACTAGGTTACATAAATTGTATTTTCTCAGGCAACCGCGTATTTCTCATTGTGTCACAATCATGAAAGTTAGACTTATTGTTGAATGCACGTCACACTCTATATTACCTACTGGCACAGATCTCCATTTCCTTCTCCTTAATCACTTTTATGTACAGTAATGATCACTTAATTGTGCAAATTAAGTTCTATTTTCCAGACGAGAAATTAAAGATTATATATTAAGAGGGACAAAACTGATTAATAATATATAGCTAAAATTTATATAGAACTATGGTAAAATACTAAAAAATATGACAGTTTATCAAAATTATATATTTCATACATAGTGTAAGAATAAAAATTCGAATTCGTGTTCATATAAGAATGTAAAATTTATTATTTAATCAGATTTCTTAGCATTATGAAAACGAAATGCAATTTTAAGTAATGTAAATCTATATTCCAGTTTATTAAATTTATAAAAATATGATAAACTGTAAGGAAAAAAAATAGATACCGTTTTGTTAAAATCTATGATTATATTCGAATAATATGATTAGTGATTGTAAACAAATAAATCTATAAATGGGAGAGTTTAAAGTAAAAATAAAATTGTGATGCCCTGATGTCCTTTTTATTCACTAATCGTACTTTTATATCTTTTTCTAATTTTGAGAATAAAAGTAACATTGAAATAATAATTGCTTTCAATGATTTTAAATCATTTCATGATTGGCATAATACTTGTATAGGGATCAATGGAAACAATGAAAAATAGAATTTCATATGAGATTACGAGTTTTATTATTAGCTTCGTTGTTGCAGTGTATACTGGATTTGTTGCAAATTAAATCTTAGAAAAACGAAAGAAAGAAGAACAATTGATTAAAAAACATGTAAAATATAGTCAAATGTTCATTCACCTATTACAGGTCACCGTATGATATTGTAGTTATTCTGATCATTATATACGATAATAGAGAATAAACATAATAGTGAGTGAAAATGAAACAAAAGATTTAATTTTCAATTTTTTACTCAAAATAAATCAAATTAAACATTCGAAGTACTAACAATTACGAGATAATGAATTTTCAAAATTTATTTTATGTTCCATATTTGGATAAATCCCTCACATTGTAATAAATTATCAATTTATTGATACTCGAATGTTATTGATACCAGTCTTTTGCATACAGGTAGCAATAATAGACAGACTCAGCATAATTTCAATGAAATTCAAGAAAATGTGTTTGAACTTCCAGTGGAAGTGATTATTTGAATATCGATTATGCAAATTTTGATCATATATGGTGTTATGTGTCTATGTTATGTACTTCAATTGAAAAATTTATACTAATCACGCATTAAAAAATTTAGCACCTAATATATTTAGATTTGGAGACTATTGCGATACTCACAAATGAACATAAATAAAAATGTACGAAGATGTAAAGATGTAAGATGTAAGTAAAAGTATGAGTGATAATATTATTTTATCATTGCTCGTTACAAATGATGACACAAATGAAGTTACAACGGAATATAGTTCACACTTATATTTTATCTACAATTACATCCATATTTGAAAACGGTTCAATTTACAGCTAATTTATAGCATAGTTTAAAATTCGGATTCTTCAAATGAATTACACAAGAAGTCAATTATTTGAATCGATTTGTCCACTAATCGATTCTTATAATTAACGTCTTATTATAAATCCATAAGTCAAATTATGTTCTTTCCTTGGTTCTGAATAACGCTGAAACAGTAATTTCCATAGAAAGATAGTGCATAATAACATCTAAACTTGCTGTACTTACTCAGAAGTTGTGTATCAACCAGTTCTGTAAGACTTTAAACTCTTCCACATCGCTGATGCTATATTGTAATTAGTATACCTCTGCAATATAAAACTATAACATTCTCGACACATGAGTCATTTATTTTTACAATTAAATTGACTCTGATGTTATTTAAATGGTGTTTCAAGTGTAATATGATATATTGTGTCAGTTACAAATTATTTTAACATTCAGTGATTCATTTTCATACCCAATTTTGATATCCAATAATTTACACATATAATTGTTACACGTATAAAAACAAAACGTTTTATTTATATCGCGTCTGAAATATTTTAAACACTTCTAAATACCAATTATGGGAACACGAATAAAATTTAACAAGAGTAAAAGGGCAAAGAAAATTTTGATCAGAGACTAACACATGCCGAGTACATATAAGTAAAATTCATTGTATCGTATCAAAACTCTTCTTATTAATATCTCGAAATTTCTCCCCTGCATATTTTATTGGCCACGAGAGTCCTTTGGATCTATGGGCAAAAATTTAGGATTATTTTTATTGCATTTATGATAAATTTGGTTAAATTACATTACATTGTAGGAACTTTAAGTTGTAGATATACTTTTGTTAATAAATAAAGCTTCAGATACATAATATGAAAATAAAAAATAGAATCAAGCATTCTGTTGAATTTGTTATTTTTTTTTTTTTATTGCTTTCTTTAAAAAAGTCAAGTCTTACAAAGAATACTTTCACACGACGATGTAAATGTCGCAATTCATATGATGAGTGAGCTGAGCGATAATGCAGCTGCCGTGTGAATATTACGATTTATTTTTATGTTTCATCAGCTGCATGAATGTAAACAACCGACCGAGAGTACTGGAAATTAGTATCACGATATCGTGTTTCATGAGAATCGTTTCTACAGAACGCTTCTGCAGGCGATACATGTGCCTATTATTATGAAAGTGGTCTACGTCACTTATATTTGCTTCTGGAATATTAAAAGCTTCGGCCTTTAAATACGTTATAAATTATAAAATTAATTGCGACAAAGCTACAAATTCATTCTAATGATTCAATTCCTCACTGTTTTGTTGAAAATAAATGCATTTTATCGTAATATAAATGAATGCAACACGAAATAAATAATAAAATCGTTCCTCTTAAGTCGATGACTTAGACCACTTTCATAATTATAGGCACATATGTACTCTGTAGCGTTGGGAGGAAATTATTTAGAAGTTCTCTTGGAAAGAATCAGAAGACGTTTAATTAACTATAATATAATAGGTTTACGACTTTTCGTATAATTTTGAGAGCGTTTCCGAAAAATGGATTTATAGGTCTATAGACTCCTTTTTTGTAAATAATCTTTAACGAATTGCCACGTGTTTAAAAATATTCCTAGAAAAGTTAAACATGATATTTCAACATTTAACATAAATACAGAGCATTTTGTTTACTTGTATACGTTTGATCTCTATCAGAACTAGAACCTGTGGCGTAATTTACTCAATTCATTTTGATAGATGAGCTCTTTTTTCAGAAATTTCCTCAATTGTAAACAGAGAACTGTTGGAGGTATCAAGGGGGTATCGCGTCGTTCCCTTGATCTTCCTGTTCGCATGGTTTCCACCCGAAATAATTCGTCTTCGCGGTTGTAAGGCGCGAAGATATCCCGATGTGGATGGACGGTTCGACGCGACCCGATATCTCGTCGACTTAACGAGGAGATACGAAAATCGTCTCGTGTTAGAAGAGAACCGTCGTCTCTGACGTGTCGAAAGGAAGAAGTTTAGAAGGAACCGGTGTGTTCGATGTTTCGAGAGGAAGTGTTTTTGAGAGAACCCGTGTCTCTCGGATCTCGTACGGAACTGAGCTCCTCGATCTTCCTAAGATCGGCCTTAGGAAAAATCGGGAGCTCGCCAAATATGATTGGCTGTTTTTGACCAAGGGCGTTCCTTAGGTTCGCAAATCGGTGACCTTGGAGAAAGGGAAGGTTCCCCCAAAAAGCAACGATAGTGGAGGAAACACTCTCCTCCAAAGTGGGGTACCTGGGGTCCACCCGCGCGCTGGTGACCCCATCGGTCGTTTGTTACCCCTAGCGAGGGCCTGAGGCTTCCAACGTGTGCGGACCACGTGGAGCCCTCAGGCCTATTGTCAGCCAAGTCTTAAGAGCCGTCGCCTAATTTCGTTAAATTAGGGATTTCCAGGATTCTCGTGTTCCGCGACACGAGAAGTCAAAGGAAAAAGGTAAAACATTCGAACATGCTGAAGGCATGGAGCGGGAAATTCCGATGCCGAATTGTTTGACCCCAAGACCTGGCTGTTGGAAGACCGTAACGGGTCTTTTTTGTTCCACGACGGAACAAGAACTGATATTTGACCCTAAGACCTGGCTGTTGGAAGACCGTAACGGGTCTTCTTTGTTCCACGACGGAACAAGAACTGATGGAAACTAAAAGGTGTAGAAACATCTACAGATTGAATTATACGGCACAAGTTGAATTACGCGAAGACAAACGAAATACATTGTGACCAATTGAAATAAAGTCAAAAATACAAAGCGGTAACGTAAATATAATCCTTTCAATTCTTTTCTGTCATATGTATATATTTATCAAAAATTTTCAGATGTATCTCGAGAATGTATGAAATGTATAATTACTTGACTATTCGTAGCTGGTAATTTTTTCTTCTTTAACTTTTCAGGGTCAAAGTCGTTACGGCATACTGACTTATTTTTTATGATTTATCGACGTTAAATTCTTGTATTGTTTATTACCTCAATTATTAATTATGCTAGTAAGGATATTTTAATGATTCAAAATGATTTGCATAAACCTTAATAAATTTGTTTTGGTAAGGAGTACCTTACCAAAAAACATGCGTTACTGTATTACAATAAAAAAAACCGTTTTGTACGAACTATGATATTTGTGTCCTTATTCTTGTATGATAATTATAAATAGTAAAAAAATAAGGGAAGAGTGAATTTTGTTATAATAATGCTGCTGTTTCTGTAGAGAATTTTAGAATATTTTTGAAGTAAATTTATAAACGTAATGAGAAACATTTATTATGTTTATCGAATTTTATTATACCTTAAACATTCTTCATTCCTTGTTAGTCGTTCACTGTGTTTATTTTATCGATATAAATCAATTGAGAATATTTGGTAGATTCTAATGTATCGATGTTAATTAAGGTGACCCAAAGTTAGCGATATAAGTGCGGTTTGGGGAATTTTATAGTTCAAAATAAGATGAGAAACAAAATGACAAAATTGCATCGAAGTCTTCGATTTCGTGAAAAACACATTCGAAAATCAGTCAAGGAGATGTGCATTTAAATGATTATTGATACTACCGATTCCATTACATTCTACATGATTGTTTTTGTATAGGCTACAATGTCAGAAACCATTTGCTATAAGGCTTATCATTTGCGCTTTTGGTATAAATTGTTTTAGCATTTAAACAAATTTAAATACAAAGTATCGTACAAAAAATAGAACACAATTTAATTCGTAGGATACAACTTTTTATACGAGACAATTTCGATGAAAATAAATTTTCTCAATTAATATCGCCAATATCGTTTACAATCCTTTTATCATTTATCATCAATTTAGTACAGGTACGATGATAAGAAAAGCCTGACATTGTATCCTATACAAAAATATTCACGGTAGCTGTCTGTGGAAAAATCAGTAACGCGAGTCATTAATTAGGTGCATACGCACTCGACTGATTTTCGAATGCATTTTTCTGGAGAACAAACGTCCTTGATACAGTTTTGTCATTCTTGATTTTCGTCTCATTTTGAGCCATACATTTTCCTTGACCCTATTTGTACTAATTTAAAATTCTTGTAAAATGACAATTAAAGTTTTTTATATGTATGTATACTTTAGTGATATTTTATAAAAATAAAAAGTTATGAACATTTAAAGTATTGTAGCAAAATTAAAGTAGTATTTTATGTGTAATGTTATGTACATTATTCAAAAGTTGATTTCAGAATGATATTTGTATTTTTGTTTACAGAAAGTTAATTCAGCTATGGAAACTAATGCAGAGGGTCTTGAAATTGGAATTTTGGACATTTATGGATTTGAAATCTTCGACAAGAATGGTTTTGAACAATTTTGTATAAACTTTGTAAACGAGAAATTGCAACAAATCTTCATAGAGCTCACCTTAAAAGCTGAACAAGTAAGTACTAGATTTTCATTTCAAATTTTTGATATATGGAATACCAATTTATTACACGAACTCTATTTAACATTTTATTATATTGAAACTATAATATTATCGAAAATAATGACAAATTTTTCGATTTTTGAAAAATTTTATTACATATAATTGTGCAATTTTGAAGTTTATCTAATTGTATAATATAAAGCAGAAAACACATTTACACTACATAATTACACTATTTTATCAAATTGCTCTCACTAAAAACACAAGTATGCATATTTCATACAATCACCGTACAAAATAAATTGCCGTATTCTATAAATCTATTTTAAAATATGTAAATGGAAAAAATTATAAAAATATTCTTACGACATTTTAAATGTAAATCCTTATTTTTAACATATTATTGAAAATATATAGTTAAAGTCCAAACTCGCTTTATTACATACTTGATTAGGATAAATAATTTTATTATAAAGGTAGTTGGTTTCAATAAAATGTATTAAATGTTACATTAAAATTGTATTTTTAATATATGCTTAATTTTATTAGAATATTCATATCGTCAATTTACATTTTACTCTATATTAAAAATAGATATTTATTGTTTTCTAGGTTATAAAAATATTTTTATTATTTTATTTCAATTGCGTGTCTGCAATGTATTCTTAGTTTACTTATGGCAAGATTTGTCGTTTGTTTAATATTTGAGAACAATTTTGAGATACAAAAACAATTTTTTAAAGCTTGTTAATTTATTTTCTATAAGGACTATACATATTAATATACTGAATTTATTTTTGAAGAAGACTTTTTTGTCATGTATTTTTTTTAACAGTATATATGAAATTACTTACATAGAAAAGAATATACAAGCATCTCAATTTGTTACTTTACTTAATAATTAATAATTAACGTGATTACTTTAATTATTTTCGTTATTATTTGTTCGATAAAAAATTATTTTGTAGTTAAAGAACATAACATAGTACGATATTCAAAACGATGACATTTATCTCTTTTTGTATGTTTGTTTTGACAAAATTTGAAAGATTACTTTCAATTCTTTTTATATCTCTCAATCAGGATGAAACTGAAAAAGAAACATTTTCTTAGTCGAACCGAGTAAGATAATGATACAAACTTTAGGCAAAAAATAATTTTTTACAAACCAAGTGACTTATGGTTTTTATGAACTCGCTTATATTATATTACCTCACTATCATTAATTGATGATCACAGATTTATTATGTGATTTCAACATCTCATTTTCAACAATATGCAAAATACCAACACTCATATTATATCTTAAATAGTGTCATGTCTAAGTGAAAAGTAACGTGTAACATTATAAATTATTATAATGAAGAAAAGTTTGAAATATTCTTAATATTACTAATTAATTGCTCAATAATTAATTACAATAACAAACTTTACATCGAACGATCTACAAATAAAAATTTACCATTAACCGATTACATCGTCAATTAAAAAATTCAAGAATGTTAATTTATTCGGTAATGACCAATAAAATAAGAAATTATGTCATCGGTAGTTGAACCGATTTATTTTTATTACTCATTAATATTTAATTTTTGTTTACATTTATTTAATTTCAATGCCAAAAATAATGGATTAGATATTATCTTCGTATCATTATATTAGTAAAATGAAAATACCGTCGAAAATAATTTGATAATAGACATGATACTGTGGTGGATAATGAAAACTTGCCGATGTCACTTATTAAACTATTTATTAATAATATTAATTTTTACAAGGATTGTCACACATTTCCAGATTATTATTCATCGCACATTCTCACGCGGAAAAGGGATATTCATGCACAGCTTGATCGGACACACACTCACTTGTTCTTCGCGCTTCTTTTGTTTTCCAGTTTTACCATCCATCCACATTCACTCGTCACCACGCATCACCTCTCATTCATACCAACTTAAAAGCTAAACATCCCCACAGATACTTCGTCTGACGGATATATCTGTCGGAAGTACCTGAAGAGGTTAAGTTAAGTTAAGTGTTGAAATAGTTTCAAAGATATGTATTAATGATTATTATATGAAAATTCTTTTCAAAGCAATTATTGAAAATCGAAATGATATTACATCGAAGTTGTGTATTCTTTATTGCAAACATTTTCATTGTGGGTGGGTACTGTCGCGTCGCGATTGAATTTTGTAGAAATTCTGGCTGATTGTAAGTTTATTTCGCGATCTCATTATGTTGCCCGCCAAATTAACACTTTACCGACCGCTAGCGATTCAACAGCATAAGCACATCCGACCGGCCACTCAGCCGCAGATTCTCCCTGGCGCCCCCCATATAAAAATGGGGAGTTTACAAAGCAATGCAACTGATACAACTGAGCAACGTACCGCAATAATAAATAACAAATTACTGTTCATCGTCATGACAACCGATTAATAGGCTATATAGGTCGGTAAGTGTCGGTGACAAAAAGCCGATTAATAGGCTATCGGTCGTTAGGTGTCGGCGACAAAAAGCCGATTAATAGGCTATCGGTCAGTAAAGTGTTAATATTGGACAACTGTTTCAATTAGCATGAGCAATAGGAAGATCTGGGCTGGAGTCGAACGATAGATTCTTTGTACGACGATAGGAAACTGAGCTTTTGGTGGTCTATTGGTAGGCTCGTACTGTTCTCTTCGAGATTTCGTTGAAAAATATTCTCCTTGAGGATTTGTTTAAAACTGTTCTGAACGATTCGTTGAGAACTCACCTGCTCGAGGATTCCTTTAGAACTGTGCTCCTCGATTTTCCTAAAATCAGTCTTAAGAAAAATCGGGAGCTCACCAAATATTATTGGCTGATTGGATCAAGGGCGTTCCCTTGGTTCGCAAATCGGTCACCTTGAAGGAAGGGAAAATCCTCCCAAACGAAGACGATGGTGGAGGGAACCCTCTCCAAGGTGAGGTACGCGGGATCCACCCGCGCGCTGGTGACCCCATCGGCTGTTTATGCACCCTTACTAGAGCCTGAGGATCCCAGCGTGTGCTGACCACGTGCAGCCCTCAGACCTATTGTCAGCCAAGTCTAATGTACCATCGTCTGATTTCGTTAAATTAGGGTTTTCAAGGATTCTCGAGTTCCGCGACACGAGAAGCCATAATAAACTCATCATCCGGATCATTACGGAAATTATTCATTAGTGTCTTGTTGACATTGGGATTTCGAATTTTGCTTATTGTGAAAGAGTAACAGTGTACACTTTATTCTTGACTTGTTATTTATTAATTAAAGAAGGTACACCGTTTCTGTCGATATTCTTATAAGAAACTGAACATCGCGAGCCGCGGAGAGTGAGTTCTCCCTCCGGGTCACTAATTCCAAATTGCGTCTTAAGGAAACTATGTACATTGTATCATTTTTCACACGCGGTTCAGTCACACATTTCTTATGCAAGATTGATTTTTGCTCTAAACTAAAAATATTTCCCAAGAGCTGAAAATGTTCATTCGTTGCGACATATAAACCATCAACGTTTATAATATGTTTACGTTTGAGGTGGAATAGGGTGACGACTTTTCAACGACTTACCTGAGACCCACCGAAACATTGACACTTCATTTACCTGCAATGTAAAAATTTTAACGAGAGAAATATTCGATACGAGTTTCTTGAAAACTTAACCAGATTATTGCATATATTAAAAATATTACCAATAAAAAATTAAGAAATAAAAGGATTGAAACAGTTGCATAGAAATTTCATTGAAAATATGAATATATAGTGGAACCTCGATAACTGTAACCTTAAGAGAAAAGCTAAAACCTTCGAGGCTTAGTAGTAAAAAATTTTATATATAGGAGCTGTGTAGAGTTTTAATTTGCGTTGTTCTATGTTTAGTCTTATTTGAGACAATGTAAACGTGGACTTCTGAGATCTTATGATGCATAACTTAGAAACTTCAAGTTGTAAAGGCAGCAACGATAGAAGTTCATTGTATAGACGTATACTTTAACTTGGTTGGCTACTTTAAACTTCGAGTTACAGACGTAAAAAAGACATTGAAATATGCGGCAAATAATTCAAATTGAAGTAAGTTTTATTTTGATTATATTATATCCATTCACGACGGAGTGAATATGATTGAACAAAATATTCTTCTGATAGAGGTTTTGGAATTAAAGAAGTCAGAAGCATCGAGGTACGACTGCATTTAATAATTTAATATTGTGTTTACGTTGCGGACTACATGGAATCCTAATTTTTCAATTTTGGAACACGAAACAAACGTTGCTCAAAGGTTTGAACACTGTTTTAAACACTATATTCGTGTATACACTGTTCATTCGCTACACTCAGTCCCAAACTTGCGGACCCTTACGACACCTCAACTATCACCCTAATCCTCAATAAAGGCTTGCTGCTTTCCTCTTCAATTTTCCAAAATTTGTCTAACTCAATCTGCTGGTTGAATTGTATTTTCGACTCAATGACCCAGCCCAATTGTATTTTTGTAGGACGAGGTCTGTGTTTGTGCCCGGCGGTAGTTTGACTTGTCCAATGCTGAGTGTTACGCGGTGCATATGGAGTATCCCGCCTTGGCATCGCTAAATAAGCCGTGAGGTCGGTATTTCTAAGGTTTATAACACGATCGGAAAGACAGACTATTCTAGAGTTGGGCTCTAGGTATATTGGGGGGCAATGAAATTAATATTCTTTCAAATCTTCATTTCGCCTACGCTCAATAGCCAAAGGACGTGTTATAAACCTCAGTATTTCTGAAGGGTCATCCCGAAGTCCCGCTAAGGGTAACAAACTACCGACACATCGGACCTGGACGAATACCGTAACCCTTGGGAAAAACCCATGACCTCACGCCCGCTCAAGTGTCATCCCACCCTTGCAGGAGAAGGCGCGCCAGGGGCGCATGGAAGGGGTGATCACGACACTTAGGATGCCGCTGATTGGGAAATTAACATTTTTCTAAACAACCAATCAGCGCGCATCCTCGACATGCCAAGGCGAGGCACTGACTAGCGGAAAAAGGTGAGCAGTCAAATTCCAACTTTCAAACAGACACAGTCCAGTCTTTTAAAGAGTCACACTCGAACTCTCAAACTACCACGTTAAAACCTTCTACTTCATCGCGACTCCGAGGAAAGGAGTAAGGTGGAAACAGATTAACATTCGGGCTACCAAACAATATTAACAGCTCTAGACCGTAAAACGTCTAGAGCACCCCACGCGTTCATAAGAAGGAAATAATTTCGATACATTCGCGACGCGTGGGATCACTGAGTGAGGATAAGGTCAGGTGTTACGGACCCAATCTTGTGGCTCAATTCGTTGTGGTAGGCACGGTGTTGGGTCGTAAGGCCAACGTATGCAATAGACAGGCGTGAAGGACCAAATGATTCGGCAGGCTTCCGCTCGGTGTTCCAATTCTTGGACGTTGCTACACGATGCTGAGTCGAATATGCCCGATTTGATTATATAGCAGATAGTCAATCCACGGGACTGATTATCCACAAAGCTTGTGTACTGGTTGATTGATGCAGACTGTCTATGCAAACTGCGCGTTGTGACTGTTTGATGTTGATTGATGAACTTACTGATGGATACTGATTGAATGCTTGATGGGTACTGAACCAACTGACTGTGTGATGGATACAGAAGAACTGACTGTGCGATGCACGATCTTTCGAAGCCAAGGATTGAAAAAAGGGAAATCGATTCTCTCATTGGTGGTTGACAGGACCGAGGGTGGGCCCTCGGAGGAAGCCTCTCCCTCAAAGGGGATAGCTGGTAGGCCACTCGCACATTCGTGACCCTACTTGAAGTGCCCGTTACTTTATGGCTTCGAAAGTCGTGACATCGCACATGGCCTGGTCCTTTCTTTTGCAAGCCTATTGTCAGCCAAATCCTAAGTGCTGTTGCATGCTTTCTAAGTCAATGGCTAAAGAATGCCTCGTGTCCGGTAATCCGAGGGAAATAAAGAACAGTTTGTAAAGTATATTGAAAATTGCTCCTTGTTTGAAAAGGGCTTTAGACCTCGTGCCGTTTCTTCTTCGGTTATGGTTGCTATTATTCACTTGCTCGTATGATCTGGTTTGTACGCACGCACTGCACTAAACTGCACTGATTAACTTGATTTTATGCCAATACCTGACTCAAAGGACCTGACTCGTCCGAACCTTTCTTGTATGGGAAGAGATCAGACGAGGTTTACGTCCTCTTACAAACGTAAACTACTAGTTAATTGAGAATTTCACAAGAGTTTATTTCGAGTTGATACAAGAGTAGATATGTTTACAGTGTTAGTTTGGTTTTTCGAATGTGTCTGT